ATATTTATGTTTGTGGTTATAATGTGACAAAGTATGGAAAAGTTCAAGGGGTATGACTACTTTTGCAAACCACTGTATATATATATAGGCCATAGAAATAATTGTGATGGACTTACAAACTTTCCAGGGTGTACCCCGCCCCTCACACTGTGACTGCTGGATATGGGCACCAGTGACCCTGAAAGGAAGAAGCAGGTATAGATAATGGATGGATGGATATTTAGAAATAGGAAGAACTAAATGTTTAATTTTATTGATACATTGAAATTTATAAATAAAACAAAAAGGTTTGGCTGTTAAAATTAATGTGAAAGTAGTCAGAGTCAAAAGTGAACAAAAAACAAAAACGAAAGAGAAGAACCAACCATTTTCAAAAAAAAAAAAAAAACCAGAACAAATACAACTAGTCAATCATTGTTTACACTTGAGAAACTCCTACTTTGAGTCTACAGAGAACCCCTTCTCAGTGGCTCCAGTGTTAGCTCAGTTCAGTTTGAAAATTAGTTTGTTTGACATTTGATAATTTAATTTTAACTGGAGCATGTTTACAGAAAGGAGAAAAAAATCGAAGTGAAACTGAAAATGWTGAAGACCGAACAGATGAAGGTGCTGGAGCCATTCCACCCGGTTTACAGAGCAATACACATCACAYTGGGTTCACACTCTGCATGGCAGCTTTCCAGTGCTGTGGTGTGGATGGAGGACAAGAGAACAGGTTTGTAGAAGGCGCACCTCAGCTTTAGCCCTTTATTCTTTGTGTTAATTCAAGTATGGCATCAGCTCCAGAGTTACCTTTACAGTGTTTGCTCCACATATGGTGTTAGCTCCAGAGCTAARGTTATGGCAGTAGCTTCAGAGCTAGTATTTACAGCAGTGGTCCCCAAACTTTGGTCTGCCCCCCTGAACAATACCAGAGAGGCATTATGATTTTTTTAGTCTGAATCCTTGACTATTTTATCGGATTTTATTGGAGAAAATCTCATCGGCGCACCTCACACACAAAACAGGCCACATGAGCGCGATGCGCATGGTGCTGAAAAACAGAGCATGTGTCCTACACCGGGCCCAACGCGCACAATGTGACACACACACTGTCCCGCTTTTGACTCAGTTACCTTATGAAAAGTAAAAGAAAAACCAAACCAAAAAATAAAAAAATAAAAAAATCTACAAATGTTATTTAGCAGGAGCACTCCTGCAACTGTCACACTTTTTCTGTTACAAACTGACCCCGGCCCCCCATCAGAGAAGGGAAAAGTTATGTGGCCCTCACAGGAAAAAGTTTGGGGACCTCTGATTCACAGTGTCAGCTCTACAGCTAATACGTTTGTTAGACATACGCTCTCTCAAATGATCGAATAACAGTTGYCTACTGTAAAAACAAGGTTTARTGTACCTGTTAATTGACAGTAATTTCAGAGATGGGATCTGGGTGGTCCAGTTGGTCTTTTACCTTCAATAAAATGTTTGGAGCTGATGTTAATTCCATGGTTGCACTTTTTTTGTTTATATTCAGCTTGTCCTATTACTCAAATCCACCTGAGCCCCATCTTTGCTTGGGAAAAGTGCCAAAAAATACCCTTTCCATGTTGGGACAATGACTGTATCCACAGTTACAAGAACCAAACTGAAATGTTTCCAGTGGCAGTTGATGCTGTTTTCTTGAATTTATTTAAGTTTAAACACAGCTTAAATTGGAGCAGCTCTATTGAAATCAGRAGAGCTGCTACGAGAGTTTGTATGCACACCAGTGTTGAGCTGACAGTCATGTGACAAGTGTCTAAAAAGCCTGAGTAGCATTAGCTCTAACAAAACAAATTAGGTAATATCATCAGAACCACTCATAATGATGATAGGTCATTTTGTCCAAATTTGACCTAATCCTTGATTTGATGTAATGCGTCACATATACTAACTTTACAAGTTAGTCATGTTTGACATTTTTCTACCCATATTTTGTTCATGAAAACATAGAACCTAATACAAAGTATAACTTTTTGCCACATATTATAACCTTTTTTGCCTTAACTCCTTGGGTTATAGTCTTGACTTCAATCTATTATGTCATTGCCCTAGAATGCATTGAAATATTGATGTCTATAAGTGAAAAATGTAATAAACATATARATTTTTATTTAATTACATGTTTTGACATGTTACAAAACCAGCATTTAGTAGAATAGGGAAATAACAATGTGTGAGTCAGAGATCCCTTTAATGCTGTCTTTGGCCATCTGTTCACTTTTGTGTGATTAGAGGAGAAACATCAGTTAAAAATGTAATATTGCTACTATTAATGCTACTTCTGTGGTTTCCTTTAACACTCTGGTTTTCTCTAGGTTTTTATTTGGTACTTCAATTTTCTCCAGGTACTACAGTTTCCCTAATGTACTCAAACTTCCTCCAAYTACTCTGGTTTTCACCGTATGCTCTTTGGGTACTCCCCGTTTCACTGTACAGTAGGGTTTTCTCCAGGTGCTCCAGTTTTCTCCTGGTACTTAGTTTTTACTCTAATTTCCTTCAGGTACTCCGGTGTTCAGTGGGTACTACAATTCTCTTCAGGTWCTCCAGTTTTCTCCAAATATTTTGGTATTTTTGGGCACTRCTGTTTTCTCTGGGTACCAGATAATTTGGTTTATGGTTTTAGTTAAWCTCACCACTGTCATTTAAGTTTAGAAGACATTTTACTAAGCTGTGGCATGTATATAATAACTAAAGATATTCCTGAGACCAAAGAGATTTGTGGTACAAAAGAAAACAATTTTTCACTAAACATTTATGAATCCCAGAAGAGAAGAATTTCACTAAAACATTGATGTTGAACTTTGTCTTAAAGGTTGTTGAAACTAGTTTATTTTACCATTTTGTTTTGCTAAGATTGTTTTTTCATTACAATGTTTAGGCTGTACTAGTTAGTACTTTTAAAATGTAGAAAAAGATCTGCACAATTAGTTATGAAGACAGAAAAAAACAACAGTGTAGAATGTTTTTAAAGGGGGTATTAATTAACATAATTTTCTATATTTCAGGAAATGAAACAAAGATTAGTTTTTGAACGGACAACAAAAGAAACCTGAGTGAATGTTCTTTTCTGTCCAGGATGGGGATTAAAAAAGTTTTTGGCCAATCAGGCTTTTACACCATGGATGTGCCTTAATTCATCTTCAAAACCATCAAAAGATTGTGTGATTGAAATATTGTGGTAAGCCCACAAGTAGGTTTAAATATCTCACTTGTTCAAAAAAAAAACATCCCTTTACCCCCTGTAAAATGACTGGAAACAAAATGTCTGAACATCTTTTAAGAACATGTTGATGTAAAAGTTTATTTACCTCAAATGTTAATAGAATGGTTTCTGAATAAACATTTTGTACTATACTTGTCAGTCCTTGATTGTTTTGGGATTCAGAACCCAGWGAACATCTGGGTTGTCTACCTCAAAGTGGCAAAACTAGAGTCAAAAATTAGTCAGGTTGTTTAAAGATTTTTGTTTAAAAAAACAGATATTGAAAACAAAACAAACAAAAAACAAACAAAAAAGATGGTTATTCTATTTTCATTTTATACTCCAAAAACAGTAACTTTTTTCTTTTATTTTTATCAAACTGGAAGTTTCCACTGTCATTATCAGTCCATTTAAGATGGATGGAGCTAGTTAAATAACATTTTAATAACAGTCCTCTMCCTGTAAATAAACAAACACAAGCTAAGCATTTCTTTAACTAACTACAGACTGCATTTTATTTTATAAATATAACTAG